TTGAAAAAGGTTGGCCGAATTCGAAAAAGTGTCACAAAGATAGAAATTCAAAACATTTCTATAAAATCAAACATGAATTATCGATTGAATCCGTAACATTATTCCTCAAGTTTTGAGAGAAGCAATTTTGACAACAGAGTTACATTCGACACACATGGGGGTAGTTAAAATGAAAAATGTATCGCGTTCTTATTTTTGGTGGCCTGGTTTGGGAAAACAAATAGAGGAAATTTGTAGAGAATGCCTAAATTGTCTTATAAATAAAATATGTCCACACAAATCAATTTTACACCCATGGCCTTGGCCAGAACCGTGGAGTAGACTTCATTTGGATTTTATAGGTCCATTCCATGATAGATATTTTCTTATAATTGTGGATGTGCACAGTAGATAGTTAGAGGTATTTTCTATGAAATTCATTGCATCGAATTTCACAATAGAGATTTTGAGATCATTTTTTGCACGATTTGGTTTACCCCTGTAAATTGTTACAGACAATGCTACTTCTTTCTGTTCTAACGAATTCGAAACATTTTTGAAAAATAATTATATCTTGCATATCACTTCTCCATCTTCTCACCCATCATCTAATGGGGCGACGGAAAACGCAGTAAAAACCGTAAAGAATGCGTTGAAAAATGCCTTGGGAAAAAATTAAAGTGGTAAGTTAAATTCGATTTTGAATACTTTTTTGATTATCGTTCCACATCGCACTCAACCACCAAGATGAGTCCAGCAAAATTTTTATTTTATTGAAAATATCTTACATATCACTTCTCCATCTTCTCACCCATCATCTAATGGGGCGACGGAAAACACAGTAAAAACCGTAAAGAATGCATTGAAAAATGCCTTGGGAAAAAATTAAAGTGGTAAGTTAAATTTGATTTTGAATAATTTTTTGATTATCGTTCCACATCGCACTCAACCACCAAGATGAGTCCAGCAAAATTAATGTTCAATAGAAATTTGTGTTTCAATAATCTTATACCAGGTAAGAGAACGAATTTGAAAAATTTGAACCAGGTGAACATGTAACCGTTCGTGATTACAGGAAGAAAGGTGTCGTTGAATGGGTCAGAGCAATCATAGTAAAAAAATAGCAAATGTTATTTATGTAGTAAAAATTACAGAATCAGGTAACATTGAGTGGAAAAGACAATTGAACCAGATTAAAAAGTTTCATGTAAGAGATTCTGAGTTGCAATCTCTAGTGAATAGCTCAGAAAATGTAGGAAAGGATTCAAATGACGTTTCTTCTACTTCGGTAGATGAAACTATACTTACAAGACCTAAAAGAATTGTTAAAATCATAGATCGACTTGATTATACATAACTTTTAAGGCTTTCAAATATGAAGAAAAGAAAAAATCAAACTTTCTATGTTTTTTACCACTGTTTTGTAATTAACGTTACTGCAGTTTCGTCCTATACGGACATTTTGAAACTTATACAATAAGTTTGTAACTTATACAAATTTTTACCACTTTTTTGTAATTAACGTTACTGCAGTTTCGTCCTATACGGACATTTTGAAACTTATACAATAAGTTTGTAACTTATACAAACTTATACAATAAGTTTGTAACTTATTGTATAAGTTTTAGAATGTCCGTATAGGACGAAACTGCAGTTTGTAACTGGTAACTTGTAACATTTTGTAACTTATACAAACTTATACAATAAGTTTGTAACTTATTATATAAGTTTGAAAATGTCCATATAGGACGAAACTGCAGTAACGTTAGTTACAAATAAAAGTGGTAAAAAACATAGAAAGTTTCATTTCTCTGTTCTTCATTATTATTTACTACCACGTAGTAACGGCTACATCTATCAATTTATTGCTTTCAAATATATTATACTTATTTATTTATAGGGGGAAATGTAGCATATTAGTGAAACAATTTTCTAGGTATAACTGGAGTAATGAAATCATCCTCAAATTAGGGAAGAATACATTACAGTTACTGTATGGTGGTCAGCCCGTGTGATTCACTTTAACTTTCTGCAACCGGACCGAATCATCACAAATAGCAGAAGAGATCCGATCCTGCTCCACGACAACGCTAGTCCGCACGTTTCACAAATCACGGACCACAAATTAAACGAGTTGAGCGTCGAAGTTTCGTCTCACCCAGGCCTCTCGCCAACCGACTATCATCTTTTGAAGCACTGCGATGAATTTCTCATTGATAGAATCTTCGCAATCAGGCATAAACGGCCTTCATCGACTTCATTGGCTTCCGAGCACACATTTTTTATTCGGACGGAATTAGTCGACTTGTATTACGTTGGCAAAAGTACATTGATTCAATTGATTGAATTTTATCTTGAATTGAATGAGTATCCACTGAGATACTGCAGCTCTAAGTATGTTCATAAAAAAGGAAAGGACTTTTAATTAAACAACCTGATTTGATTTTATCTCATTGATTTCTGTAACAAGTTCATTGCATATTGGGACAATACTAGTCAAGTTACGAAACATATCAGTTAAAATCAACCTGTTTTCCAGAAAAATTGATGGAAATCCAACATACCAGTTTTTTCTAGTATGCTATTTGAAATTTGCCCTAGTTGAGAAATTAAATCAAAAAACGCCTCTGGTGTTCTGCATCTGTGGTAATATTGAAAATATACATTATTGTATAACGTACATTTTAACAACCTTTTTTTCGGCTTCTACAAAAGAAACATTTAAAGACACTTTTGTGCAAAATGCTATGATAAACAAAAGTTATTTTGGATTTTCGATCACTAATTTTGATTGAAAATCGTGTATTGACCGTTGTCTTTGCAGAGTAAGTAAATTCATAAATCTACTTACTGATGGATCGAAAAGGGTTCACGTAATAACAAACACATTGACATCAAATACTCACAATAACTGTTTCAAAAACTTTGATTTCATAAATGTGAAGTTCGTAAAAATATTTTGTAAATGTAAAAGAGTTTTTCGGTTTTCTACTTTTCCTAAAACAAAATCAAATGTGGGAATCTTCCGAAGTAGGGAGCAATACAATTAACTTCACTTAAAACTTCTAACAAAGATGTACATGCACTGTAAAAAAATTCTATCCGATACAACTACTTTCAGTGAATTATAAAGAAATTCCTTTTTTCTTTCAGCTAGTACTCTAAACACATTCGTAACGAAATGGAATCAAGGGAATCACATCCTAATATATGAAGAGTAATGATATTAAAATTTCACTTACATCGAAAATTATCAAACTCCTGGTATACTTTGAAGTTTCGGGTCAAGATACCCGTCTCCATCTCCTCAGTACCTTTTTGGATATCTTCAAAAAACGTGGCACTCAATTTTTGTATCAATTAACTTTGTTTACTGTTACCTGAAGCGACCAATCAGGATAACATTTGAATATTTTCAAAATAGATTTTTCGGAAAAATCTTCTTGGCTTTCTACCGCGTCACCGGCAAACAGGGTGTTCATTAAACATGCGAAAAAATTAGGGAACTATTCCTTGGACTATTCTTAGGATATTTTGTCCTTTGATGATTTTGGATAGGACACTTTGTTTCGATGATACAGGCGAAAAAGAATTTCGACTATAACAGTTTTGGTAATTTTGAAATTATTAACGTAGCCGAAATAAAAGTATAGCGTACTACATTGGACATAACAAGTCCAGTGAAAAATCTAACAATTTCTGCCAGGAAAACTCACCGGCGAGGTATACCCCAACTTTTTGGAACAAACGCTACCTCAATTTCTGGAGGAAATACCATTGGTTACAAGAAATACAATGTGGTTTATGCACGATGGTGCACCAGCGCCTTTTAGCATATCGGCTCGAGAGTTTTCTGAATAGTCCCTTAAATATTTGCTGCATGTTTAATAAACATACTGTATAAAAATGTGTGAAACTTCCGAGACAAAAATAAAGTGATTTTATCTCAGTAATTATTTCTCAGATTTTCATATACTGATGAAAAAGTAGAAAACCAAACAGATTTCTTCGTAAAACAAGTTTCTTTTGAAAAGTATTCCTCTTCCGACTCAACTGACATGATTCAACGAATTTTGTTTACAAAAACACTCCAAATATACCTACTGGTATTCTTGATATTTTTGTACTTATAGCCTGAAGTGAAAAACCACAGCTTTGGAAATCAGAACGAATAAAATTCCTGTAAACTTTGTTAATGTCATATATTCACAATTTTTCGATCCACTTACTAACTTTATAACACGCTGTACATTCAAAAAACTTAAAATTATATTTACAAAGCAGTGATATTTAAATTTTTTGTTCCGTTCATCACAGATATCGACCTCCTGAACAAATCCCAATTTTACAATATTGAAACAAAAAACAGGACAACAAGTAACTGATAAAATCAGGGTTTGCTCAGGACCCGATTTGACTACAGAGTGTGGCCAAAACTTCAACCATTACACCAGAAATGTATAAACCGAAGTGAGTTTCATAAATTTACAGTCAAATGTTTATTTAAATTCATAATGGAATAGTGGTTGAAGTCATGGCTAACCTGTAAATATCGAAAGTGCCAAAAAGTGACTAAAGATAGGGTATCGATAACAAAGTTCTTTGTTCGTAAAATGACGTATACAAATTTAAAATAAATATATGATTTGAACATACAATATACAAAAGCACTGGGGAAGTTGTTCCGTACGAAAAAAATATCGAAAAGATTTTATCGATAAGAAATATTTATATATACACATATGTACAAAGAATTTGGTACAACCGGTTGATCAGGTATCAGTATCGAGAATCGCCAGCAATTTTGAAATAAGGTGAAACTTTGAATTGAACCAGTCAAAGGTATGCGGTCTGATATCGGGTCCAAAATGAAAAGCATCATCTATTGAGAAACATTAAAACCATAGTTTAGGCATCAAAACTAACCTAACTCCAGATTTTCGAAAACACACTGAACAATACCCAAACACAACAAATGAAAACATGTTTTGTTTATTTCAGAATCGTTTTTTTTTAATTTCTTTATATTTTTACAAACACAAAAATTTGATGAATTTCGAATTTAAATACGAAATTTAGTTATTCTTTTACAAACGCCCTTTTACGCCTTATAGTGTACCTATATAGATATATTCATCAGTAACAAAAGGAAAGATGGTTTATTATTTTTTAACTTCAGTTTCGTAATTATCATGGACCCTATAGACAAAACTTTTATTTGTACCGAAATAATATAATATGCCTTGTATAATTCAAATTTCAACTCCAAAATTTTGAAATAAAACAATGTAATGCTGGCGTGTAACAAAACTTTACCATAATCAAACATTACAAAAAACATTTTCCAACTTTACGAAGCGAAACGGAAATGTATGTTCTAGCTTCTTCAAAACAAAACCCTGTATATTCTTTAGTAAAAAACGAAGATCGCATATACATGCATTTCAGTTGGCGTCGGAAAGAACGTCAATTCGTGTTCATTTGTTTTGTTTGGATACGCTCGAAGAGTATTGAATTTTTTAACCTTGAGCATTGAATATGAAAAATGCATTTGAACAAATGAATGAATTGAGAATTAAATTGCGTCACGAATGCATAAAAAACTGTTTTTCATTCTTGATTTAAGTTTTGTGGACTTGGCAATATATACGGACAAAAATCCTATTTACAAAAATGATTATTGACGCAGGAAAAAAGGGCCTCCGTTAAAATTCAGGCACTTTGTTTTTTCAAGTGTCAAATGAACATTGATTTTTCAATTTCTAGGTCGACTCTTATTGTTATAATTTGCTAAGTTCATTTCAGCTATGATAGTGTCGAAAATTATTTTTATTTTGATACTCGATAAGAAGTATAAGCGATCATATATAGTAAAACTCATAGTGTAAATTTACTATTTCTCATCAAGAAAAAACGAATACTGAAATCGAATTATGGATTGTTTTTGCAGCTAGAGTCAGATATTTGAAGTACCTAATCCAATTGTTCTTTGAAAAAAAAACATTTTATAATTCCAAACGATACCTATAACAAAAGACGAGTCATTTCTAATAATTTTGATGATTTTTCGCAAATGCTTGTAAATACTATTAATTTACAAATTTATTTCAAATGAATATTTATGTGAATATCATAAACATTTTTTATTAGCTGATTTTTCACTATGAATCACTTTATTCGTATTCACAGCTTCAAAAATAGTCCAAATGCTGAAGTCATTTTTTCGTTTTTATTATAAATTAGTGTAACCTACCTATATTATCAAATATTTTGTTATAACCATATTCGAATAAATAAGATTATTGACTTTCCGTTTCTTTTAGGTTAGGTATTCATTGAAATATAATTTTGACCTGTTCTCAGAAGGATTAAAATTTATTAAAGTTCCTAATCCGAAATATTTGAGGAAATTGATTATTTCCAAGAAAGTTTTTGTTGACATGGGTAAATAAATTATTGAAATTCAAGTCCTTTTGTTAGGTAGGTATATATTTTTGCCTTTTTCAGTAATTCAATTTATTGGGATCGTAAACCGAACGAAATAATTTTTCTTTATTTTTTCAAAACTCAACAAAGTATAATAATAAAAATGACTAGATTTTCAGCAAAATAATAGTAACAAAGTATTCCAAAAGCCACAACACTTACGTGATAAGGGAAGAAGAATGAAAAACAGTCGTCCGCCCTAAGTTTTTTCGTCAATACTGCTGTGGTTAAAGGAACCAGAATGAAAAATATATATGAATGTCTGATCTTATATACACTTGTTATTTCACAGTGGCGACACGTCCAAGTCCTGCGCCACAAAAAGCGGTTCTCACATATGCGTTAAGGGCGCCAGGGGGCCCCCCTGGCCCATGGGGTCGGGCGATGAACTGTACTGATGTTGCATATGTTGGACACCTCCGTCGGTGGGTAGGTACATGGAAATCATCTGGCGAAGATCTCCTTGCTGAGGTTGGCCCGCGTACTCTCTTTTAACCCCGCTGGGCGTTGGGGTGTGTAACCCCGAACTGGGGCTCACCGGTTCAGACTTGATACTCGACCCGGAGGGGCTGTGCGAGGACCCCGCTTGGTGCATGCCGTAGGGGGAGCCAGCACTGTTGGGGACGGTTGCAGGGCCGTATGCTCCGTAACCCCCGTTCATGTAACTATGCTGCATCTGCCCCATGTCGTACCGCGGGTAGTTCGCGCTGCTGTACTGCTGCTGGTAAGGGCTAGGGTCGTGCATCATATACCCGTTCGGCATGTACCCGTTGGGCATTTGGTACATCTCCCTCGCGGCCTGGACCTGCTGCACTGAGGGGGCTGTGGATCTCGCGGGGTCCGCTGCCTGCAGCAGCGAAGTCGTTCCCAGAGGATACTTGTCTTTCTTTAGCAGCGTTTTGGTCTTCCGCCTCGGCCGGTATTTGTAGTCCGGGTGTTCTTTCATATGCACCGCCCTCAGGCGTTTCGCCTCGTCTATGAACGGCCTTTTCTCCGTCTCACTGAGCAATTTCCATTCCGCCCCGAGTCGTTTCGATATCTCCGAGTTGTGCATTTTTGGATTTTCCTGTGCCATTTTCCGCCTCTGACCTCTCGACCACACCATAAACGCGTTCATCGGTCGTTTCACCCTCTCCATGTTTTGCGCCTTACTCGAGTTGTTATTGTTATTTTGCGTGGTCTGTCCGTGAGGCTGATGGGTCGGCTGCTGGTGCGCTTGGTGGTGGTTCTGTTGGTGGTGTATCTGCGGTCCCTGCGGTTGGTGATGTATTTGGTGTGGATGCTGCGTTAATCCGTGCATCGGCGCTTGTCCTAGTGCACTGAGCGAACCGTAATTTTGCAACGAATGGTGCGGTGGTATGTTGCCGTGCAAACTACCTCCCTTGAGGTCGGTCTCCATCGTCAACATGTCTTCCGTCGGCGCAAACAGTTTGCTGGCTTTATCACTGCACTCTATCACGACGTCACACTCCGCACTGTACGGCGTTACTCTCTATTGTGAGTTGCTGGAGTTGCTTCCAATCTCGTCTCCGAGCAATCCCCTCCTCTGGGTTTGATTGACAGTACCGCCTGCCATCTTTTCGTTCGGCCAATGATGCGCAAGTGCGAGCTCTGGCCACACCCACAAGGGGCGCCCCTCCATCGGTGTAGTGGCGCGCAGGCGACGCGACGGGACTCCTACTAATTACTCGGCGATTACTAATTATACCTGGAGGGTATTTTTACTGCACGGAGCAATAATAATTAATTAATACGGCGCATCATTTCGCGTTCAAAAATCTTTAATTAATGAGAGCAAAGGTGAGTTTCGATAGGATTTCCTGCGATCTCACCTGATGGTGAGATTTCCGCGAAAATGTCGAAAAAGGAGCTTTCGTATAATTGGGTTGTGAAAATATTGTGACAAAGGGTGTACGGGATATGAATGAACAGGGTTCCGAATGCTTTTATTGTATCGTCGTAAGGCATCAAGTTTGAAAGTGAGGTTATATCTGTTTATCATTTTTTCTTTTTTTTTGGCGGCCAATTATACCGTTCCTCATTGTTGGAAGTCATGAATGAATCGAGGACAATAGATAGATGGATTTCGTTTTGTGGACGCGTGCCACTACTACAAGTTCAGGAACAACAGTCGCGAGTTTGTCTGCAGAAAAGTAGGCGCTTTGTTTGTTGTTTGAACGATTTCACGCGCTTTTGTTCGCGGTCTTTGTTTTTCATTGTTGTGACGTGATTTTTCGACTGGCTGGGATTGTCTCGGTATATTTTATTGAGAGTTGCGATCTTGTCCTCTATGAACTAAATTGGCATCTACAAATAACAAATGTATCCAAAGCAGATTAACAAATTCGCGGGCAATAACATCATTTCCGATGAAAAAAGTTGTTAATTTTCACCATCATTGAATAAAATGAATCATATAATTGAAAGATTTTCCACACCATAGAGGGCACATTCTACTACACGCGTTTTGGATAACCAAGTGTCAGAAGATGATTACCTATAACAAGTTTACAGTCCACTTAAGAATGTAGGTATATCTAAGTAGTAACACAGCCACTTTGAAAATTACCTACTTCTATATTTTCCTATAGTAATTCCTTACGAAATTTTTATTTAGGGATTATCATTCAGCGTACCTAATAAATGAGTATATTCAATTATTGAAAAAACTTATGAAAGCATTGCCAATGCGGATTTCAGGAACAACCCATCATTTTCTTTAACTTAAACTGTGATCGAAATCGAAATCGAAAAACAGTGCTTCAGTTTTGGTGTGGAAAAGAGTTTCCATTAGGTATAAATAGATTAATTTTACGACAGAGGTTCCAATGCCGTATAGGTATGCGGAAGGAAGAATAAAAATCCGAAAGTTTTCTCTTACCTACTGCGTTATTTTATTTTTCTCCTCTGCAGAAAAAATTAAGTAAGTTAACAATTTGTCATTTTCAGAATGTTGTCAAAAAAGATGCTCTGTTAAATGATATGTTAAATGTTCTGTTGAATGTTAAACATAAAAACAATAATTTTCATTAAGAAAAATCTTTTTTTTCTATCTCCCCAATATTTAATAGAAAACATGGAAATATTGGCAAATTTGAATGAAAATACAAACTGATTATTTTCCCTATCTACTAGCTATAATATTTTAAAACAAAATTATTATTTCTCTCTAGATTTGTACACTAAACATTTATAAATAGGAGAAGAAACAAATGCTATTCATATACCTACTTATAGGAAAAGCTATACAATTGACAATTATTGATATATTATGCAAATTTACCGTTTCATGTGTAAATTACTTATTTCAAACTTCCTATCAGCGAAATTTCTACACAATCGACTACTATTTTCAATTTACTTTGCTTTCGTTATACCTAATTATTTGAAACTGTCGTAATCAATTCGGCTGATTCACAATGGTTTGAATTTTTTAAATTTTCAATAGATATTTTGTGGAAATACGATTTTTTCAAGATATCAACTCTAGATTAGATATTATTGATACAATATATACCTACTAATGGCTTGGATTCTCGGTCCATTACCGTTTTTAACTTGCATTAATTATGTATACCTAGGCGCTATATTGCGCCAATAAAATGAGTACCTACACGGTTAATAAGCTCAAATTCATCTCACTACAGGCTCGGATTATTTTTTTTTTCGAACACTTAGCTTCCTGCAAATAGGTAGGCTCAAATGCAGTATTCAACAATATTTTCAAATAGTATCTAGCATGCATCGTGTATGGTGAACTAACAGTGATATAGTGTGACGTTAAAATTCTGAAGTGCTTTATTTATTTTTATGAGGTTAGGCACTGAGTTGAAGGGAGTATTCTGATGACCGTGAATATCCAGTACCTAGATCTGCAAATTTATTATATCCACGAAGATATAAGTTAGCGGGATGTCAACAACAAATACCTACTATAAATTTCAATCTGTACAGTTTTTCATTCTACTAAAAAATCTATATCATTTGAAAGTCATTTCTTCTTCATGCAAGACTATCATGAAAGAATCATTTCGGTAAAGCCATGTGCTTCCATTTATTTCTTAAACACATTTGAAAAATCGAAACTCTTCATTCCTAACTAACAGTTTTATTTTTTATAATAGTTGCGAAAACGTTTCGGAGAAACATATTATAAAACTGTATATCTCCCAGAAATGTTTTCATTTTACGAAACAGTTATAAATAGGAAATTGGCACCGTTTTATAAAACATTATAGTGTTTCTTAATATTTTGTATGGCATTTTTCTAACACTACAAAACAGTTTTATAAACATTTCAGCAGTTGGTATAAAATTTTTCTTACATTCTTAAAAAATAGTTTTGTAAAGATACTCATTAAAAAGTGTTCAAAATGTTTTTTGAAGGTGCGAGAAGTAATTTTGTATTGGTAGAAGTAATATTTGTAGGTACTTATGACACCGTTGAAGACATTGTTTGTGTTTCAAATATTGATATTTCAACTGCAAATGAAACTTTGTCGACAAATATATAGTCCATTATTAGTAAAATTTAAGCGCGCCACTCTATTATTGTTTAAAAAAAAATATCGATTATGCAAAAATTCACTTCGTCAAAGTATTGATTTTCTAGTCGAAAACTTAACTCAGTTTGTTCTAAATAATATAATTTTATAATATCTATGTACTTATCAGCTGCAAATATGTGCGTTATTTCATATTTTCAAGTCTAATGTCAGTATTCCGAATTGCTAACATTTTAAAATGGCGTCGTTCTATAAAATAATTTGGTATCAATAGCAAACATTTAAACGTATTTTAGGTACTATGTTACCCCTATAAAACTGTTAAGAAACACTTAGTTCTAGGAGTGATATTGCGGCACTACTTTTAAATCTGTATATATTTCTACAGAAGTGCTTATATGAAAACAAGATTTCTCACGTATATAGTTTGGATAAATATAATTTATCGGGATGTTTTGGCTAAGAAGCTTCTTCCATCGATTACAATATAATATTTCGAAGGAGTTTTGACTCAGTGATTTGAGGGGATTTTGATCATTAATAACTTTTTCTGTTTTTAGCAAGGACAAAATTGAAGCACTAGGTTACGTCGATCTTCGACGAACCACTTTTCTTATTTTTTTTTCCAATAACCAATATTATTACCTACACGATATTATCAGTTATTCAGTTATTTGGATGTTAGTCAAATAAAACTGACAGATTATACATCATTATATTACATTACAAAATACCAACAGAATGAAACTATTGAAGCACCATAAAATGATAAAACAATTTTGCTGCTTCGGCTATCTACATACCTGATTAGGAAAACTTGTTTTCCTATGATTTAAGGTTAATATGAAAGTAGTTGTTTAGAAAGTATTTTGTCTTTGGTGTAATTCAATGTTTATATGAAAGAAGTTGTTTAGAGGTGTTTTTCTTCCAGTTTGGGTCTGAAAGTTAGAAATGTGGATTTCAGGAACAACCCATCATTTTCTTTAACTTAAACTGTGATCGAAATCGAAATCGAAAAACAGTGCTTCAGTTTTGGTGTGGAAAATATCGTGAAAATTCACTATTGAGGAAATTACTTCTAAAAGAAAATGGTAAAGATGATGTAATTGAAGATAAAATACTTTTAATTGAGAATTTTGAAACTAAACAAATACAAAAAATGAAAAATTAGGATTTATGAAATCAATGTGACTTGTGGAACTGGTGCTTACGATTTACAAGAGATTCTATATCTGGGTTGAAAGTTGAAAGCTTTAAACGCAGATCCCTTTCCATCCAAAGCCTATTCAGTATATAATTAAGTATTTTACAAATACAAAAATACAAAAAATGAGACTTATGAAATCAATGTGACTTGTGGAACTGGTGCTTACGATTTACTAGAGATTCTATATCTGGGTTGAAAGTTGAAAGCTTTAAACGCAGATCCCTTTCCATCCAAAGCCTAATATATCTATATTTATTTTTTGAATATATAAGTGGAGGATGCCCTCTGACACAAATATGTGGTTGAAAACCACATCAGTCATTTTAAGGCTATATTCGAAAGAACTGGATACTCTTCTCTAGCCTTTATCCAAAGTGGGAAAAACAATTCAGAAGAATTAAGTGTTTTTAATCTGTTTCCGCGACCCATCCAAATTGCTCCCAAATTGCAAACTATGGGTCACGACCCATAGTTTGGGAACCACCGTCGTAGATGTTTGTTTTCATAATAATAATGCATATTTGGAATATCCACATTCACCAGTCTACAATTAATTTCATATGTGCGATTACGTATTTCGGCTATAATGGGCACGTATATAAACACTTTTGTTTGCTTTTTTTCTATACGAGTACTCTCTTGTATCAAATTTATGTATTTTGTAATAATTTGTTTATATACACTTCATAATTTTCCATTAGCGAATCCTATAGTACTGTAAAATGATCACTTTAAGGAATTAATTTGTTGTATTGTGTTGTTA